GCCCTCTTCTTGACATATTTCACAGAGCTATTTGAGGTCAAAGTTTTTGTTTGGATAAACGGCGCCACTCGCATAATTCGTCTTTAAAACAGCGCCCGGATCGAAGTCCTGTCTCACGGTTCAATATTATGGTTTGCTCTAAAGTGAGTTCGTTGAGTGACTTGTCACACACAGGGTCAGTGGTCCAGGAGAGGACGGGGTGAGGGAGGGGAGGCAGATGTGGCTCCGGCATCTGTTTTGAGCCCTTGCGTATCGGCGGCCGTGCGTATTTACGCACACATCAGCAGACACGAAGGTGCTTTAACGCATCGTGATTGTTGTTTTTTTTTTTTTTTCTTGGTGTTCTTGTCAGTCAGCGTAATAACCAGGAGCCAGGTTGACTGTAATTAAAACAACATTGCACAATAAAAGGGAAAAGTTCACACTGTGCCTCATATTTTCGCAGGCTACCACTTTGGCACGCTCAGAAAACTATGTACTGCTGCATGTTTTGGTTTTGCCCCGACATGGTAAGGTCTGTTCATTTTAAAGCTCTGCTTTTAAAAACATTTGGGTGCGAGGCTAAAAARTTCTGGATTTTTTTTTTWWAATGAAAAGACAGATCCAAGGAGAAAAAGAAGCCCTTGGAATGGTCTTTATGAGTGACAGTTCCGGTCAGCCAATCGGATCTCCGAGCGCCTCTGCTTCTCTCCACTRGGTTGGTTTCGCCGAGTGGGGGGTGGCGGAGGGGCGGGAGGCATGGGAGGGCGGGCCGCCTGCCAAGGAGGGGAGTGCGCGTCGGGGTGAATGGATGACGTCGGGAGGCTGGCGCCAGCATGTCTGGGACTGGCGCGTTAGATCAACACAGCTGGGCCGGGATAGGACACACAGCTGGCTCGGGCCTGCATTCCTCCACAAAACAGGATTGTGAGAAAAAGAGGAAAAATAAGTCCCAAATAGGAGCAGAACGGGACGTGCTTTGATGTCAACTGAAAAGGGAGCAACGTTTAGGATCGTTTTTAAAAGTAACTTTTAACAGCGAAGGAGATTAGATTTTGGCTTTGACTTGACAGTTTGAGCTCATGTTGTGCAAAAGAGGAAAAAAAGACATTTGTGGTCACCCACTGTTCTGTGATGAGGGTTAGAGTTTCACAACAAGCGAACAGTCATTAAACCGATACTCAGATTCCTTAACAACATCACATGATTCCTGCAGAAATAACTCTTTTTAATTACTTTTTTTTACTTTTAACGCTTATTTTTTATGTTTGTGCCTAAAAGTATAATGTTTTGTAAACATGTCTCTATATTTGTAAAAAAATTAAAATAATCCGATAAAAGCAGTTAAACGTGGCAGCTAAACTTTATAAATATTTTAATGAACAGAAACATGATAAAMTAATCCTGTTTTGAGTGCTTGTTGTTCCAGTGAGTTTAATGCAGTTATGTTTCACCGCGGGGTCCTTAACTTTTTGAAAACTTTTATCTATTTCAAACAAATCTGGCCACCTGAGAAAGATAACAAACTGATTGACAATCCTCACCYTCCTGATTTCCTCCTTTCTTCTACTAGAGGACATCAGCCAATGACAAGGCGCTTGGTTTTTTGCACTGACCAATCAGAACGCGATGCGAAAAGGGGGCGTGTTTACATCTTCGCAGCGTATAAAAGCCGTACTTTCGCTGTCAGAGGTGCACAACCAGGATAACTATCGACCAAACCAAGCAGCTGGAAAAAACTACCTTCTTATTTTGAAACATCCAGCTGTTTTGTTATTCTTCTCTCTTTTTTTTTTTTTTGTCACTTTTGTTTCTTCTCATCATGAAAGCCATCAGTCCCGTCCGCTCGGTGAGGAGCTGCTACAGAGCCGTGTGCTGCGTCTCGGAGCAGAGCCTCGCCATCAGCCGGAGCAGTAATCCCAAACACTCGTGCGTGGACGAGCCGGTGAGCGCCCTGTGCGACATCAACGACTGCTACTCCAAGCTGAAGGAGCTGGTCCCGAGCATCCCGCAGAACCAGACCGTCAGCCAGGTGGAGATCCTGCAGCACGTCATCGACTACATCTTCGACCTGGAGATGGTCCTGTCCATAAAGGTGAAGCTCCCGACACACATGGTTTTACAACCGGATAGATGGTTCTAGTTTTCATGCACATTTTTTTGGAGCCCTTAAACAGTATTTCACACTGTYAAAAAATGAAATGTTGGATTTACTTAACCATGTTATGTGACCTGGTTCCACTTAACTGAGTTGAGTAAATTCAAAGCAACATACCAGTTTTTTTAACCAAAGAACACGAGTATGTTGCTTTGAATTTACTCAACTCAGTAAAGTGGAACCAGGTCACATAACATGGTTAAGTAAATCCAACATTTCATTTTTAGAGTGCAGGGAAATAATTTATATTCTGCTCCTCTTTTAGACTGCTGACATTTCTCGAGATTTCTCCAAAGAAGAAGAGCAGCTGTGCCATTAGAATGAGGATGGAACATCACGGTGTGTATTTTTATCACCAGAACCCCTCAAAAAATTAAATATGGTGTTAAATAGTGTTTAGTCAGTGTGAGGATGCATTGATGTGGTTTTGACTGGAGTTGAAGAATCTTTGCTCCACATTCAGACAGGCCAGTGATTGTGGAGCGGATTCATTGCTATCTGCCTGGGGTTAATGAAAGTTCCATGCTAGGCGCCAGTCTGTCTGCTCCCCCCTGCTTCTCTGCTGGGAGAGAGGAGGGAGGTGGGGGGGAGAGATCTGACTTCACTTTTCTTCCTTTCTCTTCCATGCAGGTGCAGGGAAACACATGTCTCCACTTCACTCCGGGCAAGAGGACAAGAGGGGGCAGAAAAGGGTGGGATAGGTATTTGGAGGAGAGGAGGAGGGCTTTAAAGGAAGAGACTGAACGAGAGAAGGAGGAGAGGGGAGAAACAAAGCTGTGGATCAGTTCCGAGATGAGCGGCGGGGATCAACAGAAGTGCACGAGCAAGAACACAGAGACTCATTCTTTGGCTCCTGACAGACAAATCAACACACCAAAGCAGAAGCCAGGACTGGKAAGTGAAAGCGACCAACTGTCTTCCTTGTAAACCTCGGGATTCCTTAAATGTAGAAGTAAAATTATTTGTAATTTTGCCTTTTTTAATTTTTGTAATTCATTCCAAACAGACCTCCTGAGGGGCCAACACGAACCTTTCTACACCAAGTCTTGTATCACCACACCTATTATTCCCCAAGAGCATTTTTTATTTTTATTTTATTTTAATTTTTCCTGCTAAAGCTAGWGTCATACATCCTGTACATACGGTGTAAGTCCTTCTGAATGTCTACATTTTTTATGGGAGTTTTAGTTGCTATAATCCAAACTCTATACTAGAGTTTATTCTAAATGTTTGTAGGGATTGTTTTATTTCTGCAGACCACATGTGAGTTTCATAAACTCCTTATTATAAAGATTTCTTTGTATGTATGTTAAGAATGATAATTAAAAAAAACAAAACAATGTGAAACAGTTGTTCTGGAAGTTGTCTTGTTTGAAAAAAAAAAGTGAATGAGTTTTTTAAAATTCCGTTGACGCTGACACAACTTTTGGGGCTTTGAATGACAATGAAATGCTGATACAACAGGATGTGTTCAGATGAATCTTGAGGTTGGGCGGTTGAAAATCAAACAAAGGGAGTTTCCTGTAAGTGTTTCTAATTTTCCAATGAAAGATGGAAGAAAAGAAAAAAAACAGTTTAAACAATTACATGCTGGAAAGATGAAATCAACAGACCTGGCTCTTTATCATTCTTTATTAACAGTGTGACACCAGAGTTCATGTTTCTTTTCTGAGATTATAGTTCCGAGGGAATTAGGTCAACTTCTTCCACCTGTGGATTTAACTAAAACATGTTATTTATCAGAACTTGGACCATGGATCTGCGATTTTACTGCTTATCCTATTTTTRCCCCAAGTTTTACAAAAGTGTAAAAGTTACTGCAAATGGAAAATATTTGTGATGAAAGCTTGAACACGTTGACCCACTTCTAACCTTCAACCTACTTGATAAAAGTATCCCCACAGCTCCCTCTAGTGGTCACGAAACGGTAAACACATGATCGAGCCAATAGATTAGAAAGAAATAAGTATGCAAATTAAATATAAGTTTATTTAAAAACCACACAATTTCAGCTTAAATACTGGTATTTGCACACAAAAGTTGTTTTATTTTAATATAAATGTTTTTTTAAAAAACRGCTAATTGTGTTTTATGCTGTTTCAGAAACATTAAAATGATTTTAAAAAGCYTTATATTAAATATCAGAATACTGTTTCACATACAGTTCTGATTCATATTTAATATACTAATTGTTGAACTTTATGTTCATTCTAAATAAATATTTTTCCAGTCATCCTTTGTGTTACACTTCCATGTAAATGAGAGAAATGCTGGTGGTCTGAAACCAATGCAAATAAGCTTATCTTCCACAAACAAGAGATGGACCGCAATTTTTTTATGATTTTCATTTAAATAAGCAAATCWAAAATGAAACAGTGAAAAATAAAACGAGCAAATTTCCTGTAACKTCCAAGCAGCTGTAAATATTCAGACGTGATAATTAAACACAAACATCTAAAACGTCTGTTGGTAAATTGTGTGAAGTGTTGAATATGTTTTATCAACATGTATGAAGCTTTTATGAGATTTCTTGTTGAAAACTCAAAGATTGGTCCAAACSTGAAATAATGCACAACACATGTCCTGATGCATSTCAGTAGTTCAGGTATAGGAAAAAAAATAAAATATTAAGTAGGTCCTCTGGACGGGTTCTACTTTAATGAAACGTTTCGTCTCTCCTCCAAGAGACTTCTTCAGTTTGAGGAGTTTCAGGTGAACTCAGTTCAGTTTGTTTGAGTCCATCTTTTTTTGCACAGTTTCAAGTTTGTTCTGTTTGAGAGGAAGAGCTGACACAGAGCTACGTCATGAGTGGACTGATTTCAATTCCCTCGCTGCCTTGTTGGATTCAGGTCACACTGAGTCATTCAGAAGATGTCTAAGTCCTGGACTGGACCATTTCCTGAAAAATTACAAGAGCTTATACACATGTCAGTAGAGCAGTCAAATACTAGATCAGCAATCAGAGGAGCGTTTGAGGCAGTCAATATCTCCAAATGCACTCCAACTGTGTGTCAGTAACTGTTATTTTCTTCTCTTTTTTTCCAATTATCAGATTTTAATTATTTAGATTTAACTTCCCAAGGTTTAAACAAAATCTTAAACAAAACTGAAGGATAAATGCATGCTCTGTCAACATTCAAATGTCCCATTACTTGCCCATTTTTCTAGATATTTCCAAATGCATTGAATTCACTGCAGTCTGGAGAGACACTACTATATGGTTGGTGTTCTTTTAAGTTTTGTGAGGAGAACATGTTATTGTAAAAAATATATAAGCAGAATTAAACATGATGGTTACTGTAAGTCTGTTAAACCAGCCAGCTGAAAAAAAAATTTAAGGTAGCAATACCAAAAATCACCACAAGATGGGGGTGTTGGCCGCAGTAACATAACTGACATCTGCAGAATTGCAGATTGCTTTGAATGTTGGTGGTTTTCTGCAAGAATGTGCAATGAAACCAGCTGAACCTCAAAAGGAGTTCATACTGTACCGTAATGTGTTTGAAGTGAAGTCATTCAGGTGGAGAGGAATATCTGACTTTGAATCAGAGTTGAAAACGTCGAGCAATTAACCAAAACAAARTTAAGACACCCAGTAAAAACACACCTCTGGAATAAAATTTCTTGTACAAAAGTGCACAAGTTTTATTCACGTGAACTGTGAGCAATTTGCTGCAATTTAGAAGAATGATGCACATAAAAATGCCCTCTTCAAACCCATGATCAGAACTGAAGATGTTTTTGTACGAGAGGTGAAATATCTTCTGGAAACAAGAAAATATGTCCAATTGTCTTCATCGCCTATCATTTAATATCACTTAGAAGTCTGAGAACCGTAACTTAAACTACTGTAAACATTTAGTAAATATTGCTTTAAGGATAAGTTGTAGATTAAATGTATAATGGTCTCCTCACATTATTTTACAAATGTAGCCCATAAAGCTTATAGAAAGTAAATGTTATTTATATAATGTAGTTCAAATAATTTTATGTTGGATATGCCACCATTTTCTACTTTTTCTCTAAAACTGATGGAATAAAAAGAAGGAAGCGAGCAAGATTTGATTGAACAAACTGTGCGTAAGCATTTTATGCAGACCGAATATTACAAAATTATCTAAAATCCCACTTTTACTGATTTATGACACTATTCARGGGCTGTTCAACAGTTTGCATAAAAAAAGGGAAGAAACAGAGCGTGAATAAAAATCCATTACACACAGTTTTCAACTTCTCCCTAATGTTGCAAACATTTCTGAGAAATAATTTCTTTCAACTGTCCATCTTCTTATCCGGTGTAACAAGCAGAACACATTTCAGCTGTTTCCTCATCTGCTGACCATCAAATATTTAAAGTCAGAGCAATTTTTTTTAGTGGGAAACGGGCACAGTAAATGTTTAATGACCCTATAAAACTTTTAAAATGTGATTTTTATTTTAAATTTAGCCCATGACACTCCAGTAGACAGGGTTTGCCAAGGCTGTGAGCTTTTTCTGTCTTGGTTAGCAGGGGGTCAAGTCATACGGCTTGGGTTTGGTGGCTGTGAATATGGGGGAGGGGGTGTTTTCTTTCAATATCTCCTGTCAGCCAATAAGCAAGAGTGGTGCTGAATGAATCCAATCATCATTTAAAGACTGCAACTTGTGGCTGGCCTCATTGTATGTTCATTATATGGAAATGAGATAAACGATGAAAGAATAAAGCCCTCTTTGTTACATAGAAAGGCCGCAAAAATAAAATAACCTCTTTATTTCTAAAGCCACTATAATTTTTGGTAATATCACTCTTCTTTTTGTCCTCAGTGTCCTTTTTGTGTGTAAAKATTTTGCCTGTAGGAGCTATGTTTTCTAATTGACATTAGTTGTAAATAAACATTTGTATGAAAATTAGGCTGAAAATATTATTTTCAGTGGTCTTTGTGTTTTAATTATGTCCATTATAGTTTATAACAACAAAAAAATAAGTCAGTTAACTACAGCTTTAAGGCTCTCTGATCCACATTTTCATAAAAACAACCATGACAGGTCTTTGTCTTCAAGTTCATCCTGACAATGAAAAAAAAAAAACAGCTTACATTGCTTTTCTTTTACTGTCCCTTTAAGAGCTCGAAGCCCCGCCCCTCTGCAACTGCTCACGGCACGCCGAACGTGCCGGCAGCCAATGAGAGGCGCGCTCGAACCGCGGGAGATCCAAATTTCGCGGGACGAAAGTTTGGCGCTAAAAAGCCCATTGCTCTTCCTCAGGTTCTTGTTCCCTTGTATGGAGAGAGAGGAGTGCTGAGGTGGACGGACTGCAGAGTCGGACTGGGTCGTGTGCCGCACCAGAGGGAGTCCCAACAACAAGTTCTGGGTTTCCAGTCTGAGAGGAACCCGGGAAGCCCCCAGCTCGTGCTTTAAAACTCTGGATGATTGAGCTAGTTTATGTGTTTAGGAAGCAGATTTTATTCATAACTGGTAAGACGACCTTTCTTTTGAGTTTGATCTGACAAAGGATAATGACTCATCTGCTGATAAGCATGTTCAGAAAACGCCTTTATATTTTCAACCTAACTTGTTCTGTTTTTTTTTTTTTTTTTAGCGTTCAAGCTAATTAAAACAAGTGATTGTGCTTTTATATTTTGTTACTGTAATGTAGATATGTGTAATTTAATTGCAAGCTTGTAGCTTGCTAGCAACATTCTCGTGCTTAGCTCACAGCACCTCATTATCTCTGTGTAGGCTGGACCAATCCGGAGTAAATTTAGTTTTACTCAGGAAAATGATGCGGATGCCTAAAGGCGTCTCTCCCGCACCGGCTCGGCCCCCAGTGGGACTCTCCTGCTCCCAGCAGCAGCAGCAGAAGCTGAAGGTTTTGTCCTCCGCGGGAATGAAATCGGACCTGTTCATCACCGGACTGTCCAGCCCGCCGATGAGCGCCGTGCCAGCCGGATACTTCACCCAGATCGGCAACACGACAGCGGGCGAACAAAGAGCCAACAGCCTGTACTCAACCCCCCATGGACCCGAGGCTAAACCCGTCAGATGCTCCTCCGGGCGGCTGCCGGTACACAAATCAAACACACACACATTTGTTTCACGCACTGTTTGATGAGAGGCTCGTTGTGTTCAGGGAGTGGGATGAATCGTTTTTATGATTTCCATTGGTGTTTTAGCAGCAGGGCTCATTTAAATAGGTTTTGACGTGATAAGCCACAGAGGGGCCACTGTGGCTGCTGCTGCTGCTGCTGCTGCATGGATGGATTGTTCTGTCTCTTTTTTTTTTCCTGTAAAAATATCTTTTATACCCACTCTGCAGTCCAACTCAAGCTTGCAGAAGACATGTTTTAAAAATGTGTAACCTCAATTCTAAAAAAAAAAAATAGCACAGTTAAGTCAAATGTAAAGAAAAGCAATTTCAGAAATTCATATTTTATTCACAATGAAAACATGGGGATGTAACAATTAATTGATTTAATAATCGATTATAGTTGCTTAAAATGTGATTTGGTTGGCGATTTCATTGTTATTTCATAACAGTAAGTTGTGTGTTTAGGACAAATTATGTTTGATACTTTATAAAACTTGGTCTTGTGATGTCTTTTATTTTGAAATTATATTCCGTTACTAAGAAAACAGACAGTTTGATACAAGGACAAAAATGCTGATGTTAAAATAAAAGAAACGTATTTGGTTATGAAAAGGCTACAATTAATTTTGTTGGCAAAAAAATACATTTAACGTAATTTAGAACTTAAAATCGATAATTGAATGCTAGGGTTGGGCATAATCGTATCGTGTGCAATTAATCGTCAGAAAAACATTAATCGATTATTTTTGGCACTTGACGATTAATACGATTAATGCCACCAGGCAGACTGACTGGTAATTTCCCTGTTCGGTCTGGTCGGTGATCTTCTCCGCTTCAAACATGACGAACATAAAAAATAAATAAATTCTTAAATTGATTTATCTATCAACACAATTTAAAATTTGATGTATAGCCCGAAGTCTGTAATTTTGACAATTTGGAACAGATGTTTATGAAGAGCAAATCTTTCCCACTAAATTGGTCATGAGACCAGGACATAAGGGTGTTCAGGGACTCCAGGGCATTAATCGCCAAATTAATCGTTATCGGCTAAATACCACAATTAATCGTGATTAAATTTTTTTTGCCAATATCGCCCAACCCTATTGAATGGTTATTTCTTGTTTTAGGTACCTTCCTAAATGGTTATTGTTTGAGTGAATCCATACATCCCTAAAACATAATGAGATTTCAAAAGTTTAAACTAAGAAATTGTAAAAAAAAAAAAATCTGCAAAACTTATCTTCAAAATTTGCTGGCAGCAGTATGTCTCCAAAAAGTGAAGCTATGGATCATGCTTACCACTGAAGCCTCTCGTTTTTAAACAAACGTCATTTTTTTTCTTCCATTTTTGTCTGACGTTAGATTCAACAATCCTGGGTCATCTTTGCTGGATAAAAGCATTTGTTGTTTAAAGCCTGTGTTGACTTAATTTGCATTACTGACACCCTTTTAGATGTGTACGCTGCCTGTGCCAGAAGCACTAATGCACCACCATACCATCAGAGAGGCAGGCTTTTAAATTGTATGCAAATAACCGCCTGGTTTGTCTCCTCTTTATGTATGGCAAACATGGAACCTTTTAATAGGAGCTTCTTTGCATGATGCTCTAACCATCATTCGTTAATGACACAGTGAACTATTTACAGATAATTATTTGAGGAGGTGTTCCTGAGCCCATGCAATGATGTCCGAAACAGGATCAGACCTGTTTTTAATGCAGTGCTGCCTGAGGTCCTGAAGATCAGTGCCATCTAACACAGACTTTCAGCCTCCTCATTTGAGTAGTGCTGGGTGTATGACCCAAACTGTATATCAATTTGATATACAGCGGGTAAAATAAGTAGTGAACACGTCACCATTTTTCTCAGTAAATATATTACTAGAGGTGCTAATGGCATGAAATTTT